ATGTTTAATTCAACACTGAATATGGACAAATGTGTATCTGACTTATCACTGCGATGGAAACGAGCTTTACTTAATATAATGTCTGTTTCACATAAACTTGGAGTTGTTACACCAAAAGTATTTTTCAAATTATTTGATACTCAAATACAGCCAATTCTATTGTATGGATCTGAAGTGTGGGGTTACCGAATTTGATTGGTTTGTTGTTTAACGCCGCACTCAGCAATATTCCAGCTATATGACGGCGGGGGTTACCGAAGATATGAATGTTTAGAAAGAATTCACCTACTGGCATGTAAAAAGTTTCTTCGCGTTGGAATAGCAACACCAAATAATATGATATATTGAGAAAATATTGGTTTAATATCATCCGTATGCCAGAACATCGGCTTCCGAAAAAAGCTTATGACATGCTCTTTCATTTAGATAGTATCGGTAAGGTTACATGGGTATCGCATATTAGGACACTATTATTCTCACATGGATATGGGTATATATGGCTTAACCAATCTGCTGGTGATCAACATTTATTTCTAAATGATTTTCGTAAAATAGCAATAAATATGTTCTATCAAGGGTGGCAATGCAACTTGGAAAACAGTTCACGTTATGATTTGTACAGAACATTTGAGACTTTATTAGAGCCAGAAAAATATCTATCAGTTTTAACAAATAGTCGCCTAAGAAATGTATATATTAAATACAGACTTGGCTTGTCAAAAATTATGATTAATTATGGACGGAATATATCACTTGAAAGAATACAAAGAATTTGTCCATATTGTAACTCTGCTATAGAAGACGAAAAACATTTTACCTTTGAATGTCCTTATTATGCAGAACTACGTACTAAATATATACCAGAATGTTTCTTATCTAAGACGAGTAGAATAGCGTTTGTTTCTATTTTGTCATCGAATGATGCCGATGTAATGTTTAAACTGTCTTTATTTGTAAAACATGGGATGGAACTACGAAATAACATGTTGAGTGGAAATTCAGAAGTTTAATTACCTTACCCTAGAAAGTCCTCATGATTATCACCGATTGTTAAATGAATGTTCTATTTTTATAATTTTTGTTGTATCTCCCAATCTGTAAATTCTCACCCACTGTATTTATCTGAACTTGTATATGGGCCGATGGCCTTTGATACAATAAACGTGTTTGACTTTGACTACTGATTATACTACAGGACTGAAACAATGCTGAAGATGTATATTTACCTTACAGGAACTTTACGTCGAATGAAAATTGTCCTGGTATCACAATATTAGGCAACAGCAACACATTGGCTGACGCTCGTCCAAACCTGATTGACGAGCACGGCAACATACCAGATGCTTAACGTAACGCTCTGTTTGCCGCATACAGGTAAATAGCCTGTATTTTTATTGTCGTAACTGCTTTCAGGCGTCAAGTGGGACCCTACTAGAGTTACCTTAACGCATTGGCTTTCGTGGTCGTCATTGTCATTAGTGTTATTTACCCCCAGTCCATATGCCAATATACAAAGGATTCAAACAGGCCAGCCTCGTCACAAAGTGGGGAGAACTTAGAACGACTGAATCGGCTGCAAACCGCGCTCTCCTCTCCTAATGTTGACGGTATCATTTTAAAGTGTCCGGGCCTGGCCTGTCTTTGTCACATGTCCTCATAGATAATTTTAATTGGTTAAGAGCAATATCAGACCATGATCAAACTACCGGAACCTACTAACCGATTAATGATGTCTATTGATTAATTGGCCATGCATAAATTCTTATCCTTACTTAGTACTCCAACTTCTAAATGCCTATCAAAGAAGAAGCAATTATATGTTGGCTGCCCTTGCTACGTTTCCTAATTTGTTATCTTTTAACTTTTGTTGTTCTTACAGATGCATATACATTTATATGTTCTCTGCCTCATAGCATTTATTCACCTGATGAAGGAGTAAATATATACTCCGAATCGTTGTGTTCCTCATAATAAAGAATTGGACATCCATAAATTCTCTTCCTTATGTGTATTACTTCTTAAAGCTCAATCTAGCTTTGTTTTTAAATGTGGAGATATTTGCTTAGAATATAGTCATGCCTATAAATATTTGGGTCTTTGGCTACATGAGCATTTAGACTTAAATTTTATAGCTAAGGAAATTATTAAATCTGCAGGGATGAAGTACATTTTATAGCAAGCTGTGATCTATATTCACACTTTAGATATTCGTTATGGAGATTTGTAACTGAAGATTATCGTAAATTAAATTAAATCTATTGTGTTATAATAATCTCAGTTTGCTGATCTATAATATGTACATATTGTAAAATATTTACGATATTTTGAAAACGTGTAATTGGATGCATGCAATGTAATGTGAGCACGAGTGCGGATGCATGAAGGCGGTTATAGTTATAGATATAATTACAGTGCGATGGATGTAGTGGAATGGTAGGAGGGTGTATGTATGTTAGCACGAATACCGATACCGATACACGAGGGCGGATATAGCTATAGTTCGATGTTTGGATGTTTGGATGTTGGAGAATGGTGGGAGGATGGAGTATGTACGCATGCGCATGGATCCATGATGGCTGACGTAGTCATAGTGAGATGGTTGTAGGGATATGGTGGGGAAAGATGAATGCGACGTGTGCGTGCGTGCGTGATACGAGGGTTGGCGTAGATGTAGTGAGATGATTGTGTTAGTAAGTTAAGTTTTCATGTTTGCAGGTATGAGTATTGATACATGCAGACTTGGGGTTGGGGCACTGGGTGTGCCTGTACAGATGTCTTGTATTCACTGATAGAGTTTTCTTTTACTCAATAAATGTTTTACGCATTTTTAGGACTTTAGTATCTCATGTGTCATACTGGCCGGGCATTCTACATATATACCCGACCTACGTAGCAATTTTGATGCTGCACTATTCTTCTTCTTCACCACACACACACACATACACTCATATACACACACATACACACACATACATACACACACACACTCACACTCACACGTACATGAATTGTTTTATCAAATGTATCCTCGAGAGTCAGCAAGGAACTAGAAATTACTGCGTTTGTTCTGTAAATCTCACAAAGTTTCAGCTTTAGCCTCTTCCTTTGTGGAACGAGGTTTCACAGTGTCAAAATGATCTCTCTTGTCTGTCTGTACCATCAGCTTCACCCCTGCAGTATTCCGTCTAATAGTGCCAAGCAGGTGACCCACAAGGAGAAATATGGTTGCTGATGTGCGAGGGGAAGGCTCGCCTGGCCCTCCCTCAGTCCAGTTATACCGTGCCTAGCACAATATGTTGTGAAGGCATAGCCTTGCTTTTGCCAAACATTTTGTGACAATTTGGCAAACTTTGATATGTAAACAGCAAATATAATTCAGTTTTATTTCATCTTAATACATCAGTTGAATCCTACATGACCCGTGAAGATCCGTGGTTATAATAGGTCTTCAACAACCCATGCTTGCCGTTAGAGGTGACCATGGTTGTCGTAAGAGGCGACTAAAGGGATCGGGTGGTCAGGCTCGCTGACTTGGTTGATACATGTCATCGTATCCCAATTGCGTGGATCGATGCTCATGATATCAATCTCTGGATTGTCTGATCCAGACTCCATTATTTACAGACCTCACTCATAAAGCTGGACTATTGCGTTAAACAAAAAACAACAAAACGGATAAAACGGATCCTACTTATTTTGTGGATACCATAGCAATAAATAAAACCAATAGATCGTTTGAGCGAGCATGAATATGAAAAGTAATCAGCAAGTCGATACTCATAATTCCCTCTATTGGTCCCAAATGAAATTTTCTTTATGTATACTGTAAATCATGAAATTAACGCAATGCTAAGTCAGCACAGTAATGCGAGTGTAGAACCCTGGCCTAAATGCGTGGCCTTTAAAGTCCCGTGCTACACACATGGATGAGAATTGGATGTGCCCCCACCCCCAGCAACGATGCAGGCCCTAACACGACGTCGAACTGAGTACAAGACTCTCCTGACATCCTGATTAGGGATCCTACGCCATTCTTCCTGCAGGGCAATTGCCAAGGGATCCCTCGTCAATGGCGGCTGTTGACGTTTCCGAATCCTGCATCCAAGTTGGTCCAAGAGGTGCTCTATGGTCGACATGTGGCAGAGTAATATTTTGTCCATACAAGTTAGGTTTTAATTCTATTTTAGCTATAGTTTTATACACATTCTATTTCATATTTGAATTAAGTAGTACATAGTTTATTTACCTGTCTTACTTTTGCCATATAATTGTATTTCAACTTAAACATTAATACCATAGCTTATCTGGTTCATTCAGTCTATTATTTATCCAGCCTTGACTAACCATACCACTGCATGCTTTTCACCCACAGCACTTAGTATCCCACCCCGCGCATAGAGTCATCTATTGTCCTCTGTGGTCACTCACAGCTGACCATAGATATACCTTTGTTTGCTTGTGATCTGAGGCAGTTGCAAGCTGCAGATTGCACTTGATGTATGAACTTCATAGTAATTTTGTATATATTTTGAATGGATCTTGTATTCATGGATCTAATCATGCTAATGGATGTGATTATTTCATGGATTTGAAGGTTAGTCATAGTATATTTCTTGTGTGATACTTTATATGTATTTGGGTATTTCTAATTCTTTAAGTTAGAAATAAGTTGTGCTTGGTTTATTGCTAGTCAGGTTGTGTATTGAATCCAAAGTTTAGTGTATTTTGGTTATGATTATTTTATATGATAAAGTATTATAAAGCAGTTTCTTTAATTGATAAATAGCTAATTTATCCTAGGGTATTATCATCTTAACTTGAACATTAACTAAATAAAACTAAACCCTAAATAAACTGTAGTAATTCTATACCTCATATCACATTAAGGTAATTGTGTTAATTGTGTATAAGAATGTATGCGTATGTGTGAAAGTGCATTATTTAAGTAATTTGATCAATCCTTAGTTTAAATACCTATTTTACTTATGTGTTATGTATAATTATAGTGTAAATAGTATCTGCATTAGTTTATACTTTGTCAATGCAGATGTAACTGGTACAATCTTGGAAGCCTTGGTGAGACGGCACAGGTTTCACCAATCTGGTATGTATTGTTTACATGTTACTCATGAATGTATAAATGTATGTATCTATATTTATGCTTACGTATATCTTTGTAATTATCATGTAGTATTGTACTTGTCTAGTGTTATGACAGTAGACATGGTTTATGTTTAGTTTAAACTCATTATAGGGTCATAAGCATATATAATATATATATCATTGTGCAGGTTACTTTTTACATGAGTAACATAGGTTTCTCGCTATTTTAAGTGCATATAATTGAATGTCCATTAGATGTAAGGCCATTATGTATATTATATCAATGTCAATGTTCTATGTCTTGTATGCAGTATGTATTATTATTTATACATTGTTGCAGGCCGTATTTATTCACCATTCTCTTCTAAGAGAATAAACAGCCATCAGCTCACACCCTGTAGCCGTTTGTTGTGTTTACCACCCCGACAACTACCGCTACTACAGACAGGTCCGGTGATCTGACTCGCCACTGTAATACGGTCGCGTTGTTGGCGTTCAGAAAGTCGCTAGTGACTCGAGCTTTGTGAGGGGTGGCGTTGTCCTGCTGAAACAGCGTTCGTGGGTGTCGTTGCAGGAAAGGCAGTACCACAGGCCGCAAAACCTCATAAATGTATCGTGCAGTGAGTTTTCCGTAAAAAATGACCAGATCTGTCTTCTCGTTTCCGGAGATGAGGCCCCAGACCATGACACTACCACCGCCATAAAGCTCCAACGCAACAACGTGCCGTCCGTTCACCAAGTCGTCGGTAGATTCGAACCCGACCATCAGACTTGAAGAGCTGGCGCATACTCTCGTTGCTAAAGAGCAATCTTCACAAATGTTTCAGCTGCCACTGCTGTACACTCCTCGCCCATCTCAGTCTGTGACGTCGGTGTAGAAACGTTAACGTCATGCCCTAAAAAGGTCGATAGGCACGGAGGCCATACAGGCGGAGTCGTCTAGGAACGGTCCTTCTGCTGACTGGATGTCCAAGGCTGTTTGCGGATGATGACATCACAGTTAGGAATCTGGACCTTAGGTGAAGCATCAGTAAATACTGGTCTTCCTGTGGGGTCGTGACCTTGGGTCTTTCACTCCTCGGCCTGTCTGCAATACTGCCAGTTTGCCTGTGACGTGTGACAAGTCTGGCAATGGTGCACTTGAAGCAGCCCATGATCCTTGCAACGTGCTTCTGCGTCGCTCCCATTTGCAACATACCGATGGCTCTCTCCCCCTGCTCTGCGGTTAGTTGAGGCATGTTAAACGGTTTCATGTGATGATAGAGTACAATCCTGCTCATGTTTTATACTAGAATTTCATACGGGTAACCTTTTGCACATTTTGCACTTTTTAGTGATTAAATTCACTTTTCTTGCAAATCATGTGAAGCACGTGCACATGTTCACAGGGAATAGGTAAGTTGCATCCAGCTATGTGTCCCAACTGTTTTCGTGCTGTTAGGTAAATTTGTTGAAAACTGATGACCATTATTTATTTGGTGGCGTTTCTTTTGCCCCTCAGTTTAGTTAGTAAATGGTATTTACACATACGAATTGTCTTATGGCATTTATTGCCGATAAACAGAATATGCACACTTTCTGAAAGTAGCGTGTGATAAGACACGCACCAAAAATATATTTTCGCTGTACATGTGTGCATGACTTGCTTAATATATATATATATGTGGACATATATGTATGGGCATTTGGATACACCGCCTTGATATACCTCCTGGATATACCTCCTGGATACACCGCCTTGATATACATCCTGGATACACCGCCTGGATATACCTCCTGGATACACCGCCTGGATATACCTCCTGGATACACAGCCTTGATATACCTCCTGGATATACCTCCTGGATACACCGCCTTGATATACCTCCTGGATACACCGCCTTGATATACCTCCTGGATATACCTCCTGGATACACCGCCTGGATACACCGCCTGGATACACCGCCTTGATATACCTCCTGGATACACCGCCTTGATATACCTCCTGGATACACCGCCAGGATATACCTCCTGGATACAACGCCTTGATATACCTCCTGGATATACCTCCTGGATATACCACCTGGATACACCGCCTGGATATACCTCCTGGATACACCGCCTGGATATACCTCCTGGATACACCGCCAGGATATACCTCCTGGATACACCGCCTGGATATACCTCCTGGATATACCTCCTGGATACACCGCCTTGATATACCTCCTGGATACACCGCCTTGATATACATCCTGGATATACCTCCTGGATACACCGCCTGGATATACCTCCTGGATACACCTCCTGGATACACCGCCTTGATATGCCTCCTGGATATACCTCCTGGATACACCGCCTGGATATACCTCCTGCATATACCTCCTGGATACACCGCCTTGATATACCTCCTGGATATACCTCCTGGATACACCGCCTTGATATACCTCCTGGATATACCTCCTGGATATACCGAGATAGTGATCGTAGATGATTGTTGAACGTACATAAAGAAAATGGAATAATTGTGTCAGTAATCTGTTTAATACCAGATTTAGCAATATTCAACCATATTGCGATATTCCGCCACGTACAAGACGGACCATGAAACCATGACTTGACTTTGGACCTGGCGTTCTGGTTGTGATGTAATACCCCATTAACTCCGGTAGAAAAAGAGCTAAAAGCATGAATAAAGATCACGAGATGAAACTGATGTATACATCTGGACATATATTTGCGTAGTATTACTACGTTAATTATTTCATATATATTTGTTCTGCGCAAAAGGATATTGTAGGATCGACGCTGACATGCGCATGTAAGCTATTCACCAGTGCTGTAAAACAAATTCGAAAAAATGTTGAAACTGATATTTTTAGCAAGTCGATAGATTAAAATAGACACTTTGAATTTATAAAAAAATAGTTAATTGTTGTCTTTTGACATATATATCGATAGGAACATGGAGAGTCTGTTAGAAGAAAAATAGACTTGCATGAGATTATGTGGGGTAGTTGTACTTCACGGTTAGACTAACGCTTAGTCTCTGACAATATATCATTTGGATAAAAACGAGAAACGTTATTTAAATATTAAAGGAGCCCCGGTGGGAGGGAAATGTCAGCCTGTACCTGTTAAACAACTCGGCTTCTTTCATTTGGGGCTAAAGCATTACAGTAAGGCCTGGGCGGAAGGGAAAATAATATGGTTCAGGGAATGTGAGACAAACTAATTCCCGGTCTGTGTCGCCATCGTGATCTTTAGAGCTAAGCAATTTGAGCCATCCGAGACAGCGTCTAGACACCTGTTTGCACCTATCAGATACCAATCACTGCCGTCACTACTTCTCTCTCCAAACGAAAAAAATTTACGAAAATTATCGGAAGTGTATATTTTTAATCTTCCTTATTCACTATTTAGATACATATTTTCACTTTAAAGTAATTATATGTATCTCATGTTAAAACATGTATCTGTGATGCTGGTACCGTTTTTGTTGCCATTGTTTAGCTTTTGTGGAGTTATTATTAATATCAAATACACGCATTGAAATTTGGACATGTAAAAGAGCTCATCACTGAACCATATGCAGTCAAACCCATTTAATTGGCGTGTATGGATATATTATCCATCTTCTTAGAGACACTTATTCTGAACATATGCAGAATTAACCTTTTTTACATTGTACTTTTTTTTTTTTAAATTGCCCATAAAGTTACAATAGGCCTTCAGCAACCCATGCTTGTAAGAGGCGACTAACAGAATCGTATCCCAATTGCGTAGTTCGTTATGTCATTAACTAGATCGTCTGGTTCAGATTGGAATATTGCTGCGTGTGGCGTTTAACAACAACATTCAAACAAAAACTATTAAACACCTTCCAACAATGAAAAATGGAACTTTATTTACTATATATTTAGTTTTGTTTATAACATATTTGGATTAATATTTTAATCATTGATTCGATTTCTTGTCTGTCATCCAATGCTCCTGTTCAAACCCTATGGTTACGTTAGTGAGTTGCCTCGATCTCTTGTTGCCTACTCACACGAACAGATTAAAATGACGTGTTTGTACTATCTTTTCATATTACAGTTTATTTAATTCTTCAAAAGAAGTTAATAATTCACTTATCACAGAATGGATCATATCCGTTTTTATCACTATCTGAGTAATTTGGTTTGTTGTTTTTAGCTGCAGTCTGTCATTGACACAAGCTTTAAACAATTTCAAGTTAAAATGGCATTAATCAACCTATTAAAACACATTAATTGTTTACAGCCTTATTCTCAAAAGAATTCAGAAGGATTGACTCTATGATATCACCTATGTTATTGTATGGGTCCGAAATATGGGCATTCCATAAAATGGAAGAAGTTGAGAGAGTTCTTTTATGTGCGTTTACATGGTTATTGAATGTTAGACAATGTACATTCAGTCGAGTTGTATTGGGTGAATGTGTCAGATTCCCTTTACATATCAATTCAGTGATGAGCGCTTTGAAATATTGGTTACGTGTAATATATATGCTGGGTATATGCTTACCTAAAAAGTGTTATGATATGTATTTTATACGATAGTCAAGGAAAGGAGAACTAGCTTACTAATATACTGAGTCAAATTAAACACTTCACATTTTTAAAAGTAATCCCATATCTGATATACAACGGACAAATGTATCAGAGAGGGTAATTTTTAATCATTAATGTCCAAAGAAGGATTCTAATTAACGGTGGTAACCATAATTTGTTCCAAGCACCTACGGTATTCGGTAATAACATCAACAGTTTAAATAAGTCCCAAGCACGAGAATCTGATGGCACACAAGTTCAGTAGCGTGTATGGCCACCATGTGCGTTGACAACTGCCACACAACGCCTCCGCATGGACCTTGTGATGCTTGTGAACACATGATTGGGAAGATGACGCCATTGTTGCTGCAAAATGGTACCAAGATCTTGCAAATTCTGTGGTTGGTTCTCGAGAGTGCGCAGACTTCTGCCAGGAGCACCCCAGACGTGTTCGATGGGATTGAGGTCGGGAGACCTTGACGGCCAGTCCATGACGTTGACTCCCGCAGCCTGAAGGAAATTCCTTGTCAAAATGTGTGGGGTCTGGCATTGTCGTGTTGGAAGATCAAACCGGGTCCATGTGCTGCCATAAAAGGCAGAGGTGCTGGTGCCAGTACCTGATCGCGGTAAGCAGCAGCGTTGAGGTTGACACGGATGACAAGAAGCCTGGATCTTGCATTGCCACAGAAAGCACCCCACACCATGACACTTCCGCCTCGAAATCTGTCAACTTCCTGTACACAACACTGGGCGTAACGTTCATGACGGTGCCTCCACACCCTCGCCCTACCATCAGCAAATCGAAGATTAAATCGGGATTCATCACTGAAGACGACTTGATTC